ATAAATATAATCACCATGACTCGAGTAAAAATATTCGTGCTCATCACACAAATGAATTCCCCTAGCGGTATTCGAACCCGCGACCGCTGGCACAGCCAGTAGGGTCACTACTACAAACTGAGCCAAACGTGCGGTTACATTAGTCACGTAACCAAATGACATTATTATGTTTCTGGGTTCTAGTCCCAAGTTGGCTTACAAGAATAATCTACATATAAATTAGGCAAAGATAAAACAGCTTTCAGCGGTACCTTTTTCTTATGTTTGTCAAAAGTTTTTTTTTTAAATCGAAAAATATATGATAAGGATACGAGGGAGATCAGGCGATTGTCCACCACGCTGGCCAAGTGCGGAATTCACATGTCTTATTGAAACTTGCTAGGTTCTCTCAGACATGCAGGTTTTCTTACGATGTTTTCCTTCACCGTAAGGCAAGTGGTAATTATGTTGGAAATGAATCGCACATGAAAATACCAGAGGTGCAAAACCCGGGATTTGAACCCGCTTGACTCGGTTTTCCAAGCGAGTGCGTTACCTTACTTATTTCAAATTTACTGTGAAAAATTTTATATTGTGATAACCAGTAGAAAGTATGAATTAGTAAATAAAACTATTTTTTTTTTATTTTTCTTAACATACAGTGGCAGTGATATCTGTGCTCTTTCAATCTTTAAAGATCATAATCCTTTCTTAGATTTACATGAATATTTGACATTTTAAATAAAACAAATATTTCGGATTTTTTGCGGATTTATATTGATTTTTGGGTTGCGACGTTTCGAATGCTTTACGACAATCATGGTCACGGGAGAGAACCAAATTTAATTCCCGAAAAAATCCGAATAGATAGTTTTATTTAAAATTTCAAGAATCATCTTCGCTCAGACTAAATCAGTATTCATATTAAGCTCAAATAGAGCAAAAGCTGGTCATTTGCTTGTAAATTGGCAACAATTTATTGAGTTTGAATTCCTAATATTTCGTACTTTTCGTAATCTTAAAGCAAATCTTTCAAATATATTTTGATTCATATTTTAGTCCTATAGATCCGTCCTCGCTTGGTTCAAAACACATTTTTCTAAAAGTGATTCAATTTTCATGCTAAATTATTATATACTACATAGTTTGTAGATGACACGTTTGGCTCAGTTTGTAGTTTTCCTACTTGTTGTACCAGTGGTCGTGGGTTCGAGTCCTGCTGAGGACATTCATTTGTATGATTAGCACGAATGTTTATATATTTATATATAATGTATGTATTTAAAATTATATATTTGTAGAATATAAACTATCTGGTATGGTATGACATACAAAAATCACGCCAATTCGTCACTCTTTTCTTCTTCGTTTCGTGAAAGAAGAACTAACAGATAAACAAACTAACAAGCCAACGTCTAAACTACAATGTACATTGTACTTATATCTACTGACATACAAATAATAAAAAGTTGTACAAGAAAAATATTATCTTTAGCGAGCATCATATTTACAGTATAATATGAATGACAGGTATTTCTTGATACCACCTCCCATATAAATATAAATATTTCAGAGGTCCACTTACGTTGGGTACTTGTTCAAAACAATTTATACGAACCATTAGCTCGAGAGAAATTGCTATAACGCTTCGTGGTTTTAATGTTTGGGGTAAATAGTAATAAGTAATTTAGATACTGATGTTGGTTGTACGTCGATAAAAACGTGTTTATGATGTGGTTGTTATTTACGTTTCGTTATTTACTTTAAGTATAATTCTTATGTGAAGTCCATACATATAATAAAATTCTGAGTCGAATCTGTACATTAAATATTTTTTGGAAAATCTTATCGAAATAAACATTATTATCGGTACAGATGTCGAATCTATAATTATTAGAATTTTGGTCGATCTATCTGCATGTATGTCTATCTGTGACGGCATCACGAGAAAACTACTGGACAGATTTTAATGAAATTTGGTATTGGTGATAGCTGGTTATCCGGATCAACATATAGGATACTTTTTATAGTGGAAAATATCTCATCTCTGAGAAATCTATACTAAACATAAAACGTAGGGTGAGTCGCTAGTTATCTTTTTAATAGAGATGGAATTTACGTTTGGATCACTTTTTCAGTTTGACTGCTTCACTTTGATAGATTACAATCTATCCAAAAATAATGCGTCAAATTGTAATAGTATGTTACGGTTCACATTCTTTAGACAGTTTCGCACGAGATAGATTATTCCATTTGCTGTAGAAACCCTTGGCCCATGGAGTCACAGTGCTAAGCACTTCTTAAAAGACATAACACCCCGTCTTATCACCTCTACTGGTGACTGGAGGGCTGGCGCATTTTTCGCCCAAAGAATCGGCATTGCCATTCAACGGGGGAATGCGGCTAGCATTCTTACCACTACTCCACGCGGACATGACTTGTACAGTAATAACTAAGTGTACATATGTTTGTATATATAATTAAGTATATTTGTAATTTTCTTTTTTGTAAACAAAGTATTTAAATTTAATGTAAATTTAACGGTATTTACAATTTTACGGTGACATATATATTATGATTGTAATAGATATATCAATAATATTTGAAATCGCTATGATCCTTACGTAGTAGTTATAGAGGTTAGTCGTTTGATTGCGATGAAAGTTAATTTTTGTATGAGACATGCAAAATATAACCTTATTTTTCTTAAAATGGGTGAGTCAAAATCCAAAATCTCTGGCAACTATTAATTACGACAACTATGTGCAATACAGCTCTTTATGAGGAGATAATAGTATAGAGAAATTTAAGGTAAACAGAATACTTAGAGAGCCTGGAGAAGTTAATGATTGAAGCCTGAAATCATATTATAATTAGCTGTTTTATCATACCATCCCTACCCTTGTACTAATATAATAAACAAAATAAACCTATATTTTAAACTTAAATCACTATCACAAAGAACAAGAAGAAAATAAAATAATATCAAAAACATTTATTAAACTGCCACGTTTTTAATTTTCAAAATAAAGGCTTTGCTTAATGACTTATTCTTCTATCTATTAAGCGAGAGTGAAACGTATAATACTATAATAAGATCTAATCAAGGCTACTTTTAAACCAAATTTTAATTAGCTTAGCCATAAAATGAAGCCTCAAGAAATGTCCAAGAATGGCAAATTGTATAAAAATAATTGAGTTATGACATAAATTACTCTCGGAGCTTTTAAGCCGACGGGTCTTAGAGGTAATGAGTTTATGTGCAATTTAATTTGTAATTAAGCTTAATGAAGATACTAAGCACGATATATTAAAGAGCTTTGCATTTAAAATCCACATGTAACACTTAAAATAAAAAATATTTGCACATATATACAGAATGAATTATATCACTTAATGTATATAATATGTATGTACGGAGTGGTAGCTCAGTGGTAACGCTCGGTTAGGTAACCGAGTGTAGCGGGTTACAAACCTGGTTCTCACATCTCTAATATTTTCATATGCTAATTATTTCCAAAATGATTACTGCTTGTCTTACGGGGAAGAAAAAATCGTGAGGAAACCTGCATGTTTGAGAGAACCTAGCAAGTTTTTGGAAGATATGTGTAGTCTGCCAACTTGCACTTGGCTAGCGTGGTGGATTATCGCCTCATCCCCCTCGTATGCCTCAGCGGTGTAACGTTCAAATAATCTGAATAAATAGAATACAATGTATTTATTATAAATAATACTGTAAATAACCACTTAGTAGTAGTATTATAAATAACCACTTGAAAATGAATGGGCCAATGTTGGTAATAGTTTTGTTTAAAAGCCTTTTATTAAAGCCTTTTATTAATACTATTGTATTAATAAAATTTTTAAGTAAAAAAAAGTAGAAAATTTACTTAAAGAAATATATGTGAGAAATTAAAAGTGTTTCTTTCTATAGAACTTTTGTATGACTACAAAGATCATAAGCTTTATTGAAATTTGAAGCGTATGTATGGGCAGCAAGTAGGTTATAATGACTATGTTACGCGCCGCTAGTTAACCGTAAACATCGAGTGCCTTCGGACAATCTCTGTGGTGTTCGTCTACACAGGTGCCAGGCAGGAAAAAAATGATGACAAATAGCAAATAGATATTTTAAATAAAACTATCTTTTCGGATTTTGTCGCGGATTTATTTGTATTTTTGTTTCCCGACGTTTCGAATGCTTTACAGCAATCATGGTCACGGGAGTCTCTCCCGTAGTTTTATTTAAAATGTCAAATATTCGCGTAAATCTAAGAAAGTATTAAGCAAATAGATAATAAAAAAAATGATGGCTAGGAAAAGTATGATGACAAATATATTTTGGAGTTTGGCGCGGGACGTATGATTTTCCCTTGCGCGCATAGAATTTTATTAATTACTAGCAGAACCGCGGCGGTAAAACTATAAAAAAAACTCTAAACTCCCTTGTTTTACTGCCTTTTGGGATTAATTTCGAAAATAGCTAAAACAAATATTTATTAAATTGTATTGAAGAGCGTTAATACCAAGTTTCAAGTAATTCTGATCATAAATATTTTTTTGGGTCGTAATATAACGTGTTTCCCATAGGAATGAAATCACTTTCCAGCCCACCAACTGTCTCCACATAAAAATCACGCCAATCGTCACTCCGTTGCGATGTGAAAGAAATACAAACAAACATCAAATAAACACACTTTCAATATTCATCACCATCATAGTCACCGCAGAATCTCTTCCGCTGTAAAGCATTCAAAACGTCGGAAACTAAAAATCGAAACGAAAAAATCTAAAAACTTTTATTTAGTTTGTCAAATATTCGCGTACATCTAAGAAAGTTACTAGAAAAATAAAACAATAAGCTATTTATTATTTTTTCATTGTTTATTTACAAAATTTCATAACTATTTTTAAAACCATTTTTAAACTAAAGCAAAATTAACCCTATATATAGTATTTTTTTAAAAAATACAAGACTAATTTATACAATATGTACAAATAATCCTATAAACTCCACTTTAAACTTTTAAAATGACATCAGGTCCAGATAAGTCACTTACTGTAAGATAACCACTTGGGAATCTTATTTGCGGTGCTTTCGATCTAATTATAATTTTAGACTCTTTATCGTTTTCGGACTTATCTTCAGTTTTTTTTCTTGATAATTGTATTCTCGATAACATTTCCGCAATTGCTTCATCTAGAGGTGGTAGTTCTGGAGCATTGGGAACAGATGGAAGAACAATAACTTTTTCTTCTTCATTTTTTATACTGTCATCATGGGATTGAATAATATCTTTTCCAGGGACATCAGAATTTGGCACGTTTGTAAGTAGTTGTGGTTCTAGAACTATAAAAACTTGTGGTTCCGGTGAAGACGAAACCTCCAAGTCTGATGAAGCGGTAGTGATTGCAAACAAACTAATCACTGCTAGAAGAAACATCTGCAAAAAAGAAATTTATCTCATTTAAAAAACAATTAAAATATCTTGCTTTCCCTGCAAATATACAATACATACAATAAAAATGTAAAATATACAAAAATTTGTATTTTAGTTACTTTGTCAAAGAAGGAAAACAAAGTATCCCATCACCAAATTTTAATATTATTGTTCCCAAAATACAACATACCTTAACGTTGATTAATTCCTCAACTGATACAATATTAAGTACTGCAAGTTTTATATACATTATATTATTACTACTTAATTTGATAACATTGAAACAATTAAATGCGAGTGACATTTGTCATCATCATTTGCTAATTACTTTATAATGTAAATATTCTAAATTTAACAAAAGTTTTCGAAAGAAATTCTTTACATATTTTTTTTCAATATAAAATCGATTTATGTAGTACTTATAGTACTTTTTAGAGTACAATACTTCTAATAATTTAATGTCATAACCGTTGATATATTTTGTAAATCAATAGAATATAAAGCATATAAAAATAAATTTAAATGAACGAAAATCCATGACAACATGAGTATGAGAATGTTAACAAGAATTTTCCTAATAAAGTATCTATCGCGATATTTACCACTTCTTTTAAATAAACTGACTTTGAGTACAAAAAAAACAAAACTTATTACTTATAGCTAATTTTTCAATTATTAGGTAAAGGTTATCCGTCAAATAAATGATTACCTGAGCGAATATAAATATGTATGAAACAATTAAATTATTCATGTTACTCTTACTCTTGTATTTATTTATGTGGTATCCATTGGATAACTTTTATGTTATGTTGTTAGAAAAAATATATAAGGTTGCATAAACTTCCATATTTCATCGAAATCTTTTCAGAAATTTAAACTTATAAATGTAGCCGACAGAGTTTAAGTTGACTTATATATGTATATCAGCGATTCAGACGGCTCGTGCCTAGGTACGTTTTAACGTTTAGTATAGATTTCTCAGATGAGATAATTTTCCCGCAGTAAAAAGTATCCTATATGTTGATTCGAATAACCAGCTATCATCAAACCAAATTTCATCAAAATCAGTCCAGTGGTTTTCTCGTGATGCGTTCCCAGACAGAGAGACAGAGGACAGACAAAAAAATATAAAAACTATAAATTCAACCTCTGTAGCTATAATAATGGCTATTTGAATAAGATTATCCAAAAAATATTTAATGTACAGATTTCGCTAAGAATTTTATTATGTGTATACATATAAATAAATCACAAGTAAATTAAAGCTTGGCAACTGTAGAAAATCACATTAATAAAAAATAACCTGGAAGTCGGCTTTTTTTTTCAGTTTTTATTTTTCCATTTTTAGTTTAGACTTAGTAAGCAGGTAATTTGTAAGAAGAAAGTTTTTAATAACATGTTCGATTAAACAATTAATAAAAAAATATATTTATTGTTGATTTTTTAAAAAAAACCGCTCTACCGATTTTGATAACATTTATATGGTCACTTAGGAAGTATAGCCTTTGAAACAAAAAAAAACCAAGTCGGTTCAGGCGTCTTCGAGTAATCGGTGAACATACATAAAAAAAAGATTCCGACGAATTGAGAACCTCCTCCTTTTTGGAAGTCGGTTAATAAAGGATGAATATTATTAGTTTTGTAACAAATTACATAGGTATCGAAACATTCGAACCAATCTATCTCAACGAGGAGTATAAGATGGGATTTGGTTAATCAAGCCCTCAGAAATATAATATGTAATAAGTGATGTACGTGAGTATATCTGTAATTCGTATCTCTTGAGAGTATCTCTTGTTAAAATATGTATAACTTATATAAAATATTCACTTCAACAAAATCACGGTAAATGCAATTACTAAAATTACGCAAACTTACTATATAATTAAAAGACAGTAACCATTAATAGGTGCTTGTAATTTTGTCGTATAATTTAACTAATTATTCCAACTAATATTGTGCGTCATTGTGACATAATTTAGTATATAAACTATGTTTTTCCAGTAACATGCACAGTAACATTCGTATATCTTTCTTCTTCGATTTGTACAATCATTCATCATGAAATTGGTAAGACATCATTTTCATATTTTTAGACTCTAGTTGAATAGATTTTTTTTATATTTAGCTTAGTGATGGAATCTTGAACTAAAAACTGATCTTTATTGTTTTATTTATAATAATAATTACTTTGATAGTGCATACTACCAAATATTTTTCTAATTTATATACGTTTTTTTACAGTTGGTGGTTTTCTTTGCTTTGTTGGCTTTGGCCATTGCTGCTCCACCTGTTGGCAAAGATCTTGCTGCTGTACGAGCTCTACCTGCTTTGCTCCATGAAGAAGTGCATGATGAGCTTGGACAGTTTGTCCTCCGGTATGTGACCGCTGAAGGAATTGTAGTGTACGAGCGCGGTCACCTTGTACCCTCAGAAGATGGTACTGGATACGTCCTGGCCTTAGATGGAGAAATATCTTATATTGGTGACGATGGAAAGACTTACGTTACTAAGTATGCAGCGGGTCCCGATGGAAATAAGGTTGTAGGCAACCATTTACCCAAAGTGCCTGAGCCGGTTGTAGCTTAGTTTCCAGACGTCGAAGATAATAAAAAAATTGGCACTTTAATCAATCTTGTTTTATTATTTACACAACAAAGGGTCTTTTCACGTCCTACTACCAGATACGGGCTTCTCCTCAAAACGATGAAAATCAGGCCGCAGTAAGCAACGTTGGCTAAAATAGGGGTTCATACGTTCTTGAAAATTACTTATACCTTCTCAGACATGTAAATTTCCTCGAGATGATTTGCTTTACCGTATTACCTAGTGGTAATCATATTAGACATTTAAACAATTTTACTTTATGAAGTCTTCAGCCTGAATAATTCTCCATATTGATGTGTATTGCAATGATTGCCAGCAGGTAGCTATGGTGTAGTCTCTAATTTATTTTTTTATAAAATGTTCACAATTTCTAACTTTGGAATCCAGTGTGTTATTTGTAAAGTGAGATGATTTTTTTTTTTTTTATTTAAAATTTGGCAAAGTATACTCTAGGCATGTATATTGGAGTCATAATGATTTATTTACACATTATTATTATATTTTATGCTTATCTAAATTATGCCTTATCGCTGCAACAGCGATCTCTTCCAGGCAACCCTAGAGGTTGCCTGGAAGAGATCGCTTTTTCGCTGTAGGAATAGCAAACTGTAAGAAGAATGGGGTGAAAATAAAGCCGCAATGATGATATATTTAACTCTATTATTTGCACCTCTTCCTTCTTACAGTTTGCTTTTTCCTACAGCGAAAAAGCCGTAGAGGTTGTTTGGAAGAGATCGCTGTTTCAGCGATAAGGCCACCTCTTGTACATTATCTACCTTTTCTGTATTTATTTATTTAATATTGTGCTTGGTGTACAATTTACAATAAAGAGTTTATTATTATTATTAACCTCCTTCTTTTTTTTCGTCACTTAAAATCATATAAAAGTAACGTTTTTCACAAATAGGTGTTTTAAATATTGGCTCTTAGCATATACGAAAGTTTCATAACTATATAGGGACACAAAGTTTTCAGTATTTTCAATGTCTGATGACATTGTTCATGGCATTGTAACACAAAATAAGAACCCACGAAACTCGACGAAATGAAACTTGAAGTTTGCCAAGTGACTACATCAATATGAATTCTTTTGATTATTGGGAGAAAGTTGAGATTATTGCCAATACATAGAAACTGGTTCATGGTTTAGTACTCAGTACTTTTTTACTTTTTGTATTATGAGCTAAGCCACAATGAAAGTTTTATCCTTTTTTTATTTTAAAATTCTAGTTAACTAATAACAAAATTTAAGGTTGTGGTAAACATGTACTGCATCTGAAAACCAAATATACAAAATGTAAACTTCAGATTGTTAATTTGTTCATAAGTAAAACAATGAGCGTCATTGTTTCTGTGCTCGATTATAATCCAAGGGAAGCGCACTTTGAGATGTTCTAATATGATTGTATTGTATTGTATTCAGCCCTTTTTACCGTCCCTGTGCTGGGCACGGGTCTCCCTTCAATACGAGGGGGATCATGCGAGGCGAACTCCACATGTCTTTCGAAAACTTGCTAGGTTCTCTCAGACATGTAGGTTTCCTCACGATGTTTTCCTTCACCGTAAGGCAATCGATCAATCAAGTTAGAAATGATTCGCACATGAACATATCAGAGGTGCTGAATTTTTTGGATAGTATACATAAATTAAATATATTTTTGATAATGATGATACTCATTGTGTACTGTGAAATATAAAAAATAGAAAATCAAAATACATTAAAAGCAAAAGCTGTTCAATTAAAATATGACACACTCGTATCTTTTAAAGCAATATTTTTTTTTATAATTGTAGGGTAATTTTTAAATGGCTACGAGAAAAGCATAAAATATAATAACAATGTGTAAATAAATCATTATGACTCCAATATATATGCCTAGAGTATACTTTGCCAAATTTTAAATCAAAAAAATAAAAATACCATCTCACTTAATAAATACACTGGATTCCAAAGTTGGAAGTTGTGAACATTTTATAAAAAAATAAATTAGAGACTACACCACAGCAACCTGCTGGCAACCATTGCAATACACATCAATATAGAGAATTATTCGGGCTGAAGACTTCTTAAAGTAAAATTGTTTAAATGTTCTAGTTAATATGGTAAAGCAAATCATCTCGAGGAAATTTACATGTCTGAGAAGGTATAATTAATTTTCAAGAACGTATGAACCCCTATTTTAGCCAACGTTGCTTACTGCGGCCTGATTTTCATCGTTTTGAGGAGAAGCCCGTATCTGGTAGTAGGACGTGAAAAGGCCCTTCGTTGTGTAAATAATAAAACAAGGTTGATTAACGTGCCAATTTTTTATTATCTTCGACCACTGGAAACTAAGCTACAACCGGCTCAGGCACTTTGGGTAAATGGTTGCCTACAACCTTATTTCCATCGGGACCCGCTGCATACTTAGTAACGTAAGTCTTTCCATCGTCACCAATATAAGAAATTTCTCCATCTAAGGCCAGGACATATCCAGTACCATCTTCTGAGGGTACAAGGTGGCCGCGCTCGTACACTACAATTCCTTCAGCGGTCACATACCGGAGGACAAACTGTCCACGCTCATCATGCACTTCTTCATGAAGCAAAGCAGGTAGAGCTCGTACAGCAGCAAGATCTTTGCCAACAGGTGGAGCAGCAATGGCCAAAGCCAACAAAGCAAAGAAAACCACGAACTGTAAAAAAACGTATATAAATTAGAAAAATATTTGGTACTATGCACTATCAAAGTAATTATTATTATAAATAAATCAATAAAGATCAGTTTTTAGTTCAAGATTCCATCACTAAGCTAAATATAAAAAAATGTATTGAACTAGAGTCTAAAAATATGAAAATGATTTCTTACCAATTTCATGATGAATGATTGCACGAATCGAAGAAGAAACGATGTACGAATGATACTGTGCGTGTTACTGGAAAAACATAGTTTATATACTAAATCGTGTCACAATGACGCACAATATTAATTGGAATAATTAGTTAAATTATACGACAAAATTACAAGTACCTATTAATGGTTACTGTTTTTTAATTATATAGTAAGTTTGCGTAATTTTAGTAATTGCTTTTACCGTGATTTTGTTGAAGTGAATATTTTATAGATTAAAAAAGGTTTTGTTACCCATGTAGTTTGTCATCAAACTAATAATAATAATAATCCTTTACACCTTTATAAATTACTAGCAACGCTCTACAACTTTTCTCTAGAACATAATCATATATTCTCATCGTTAAGGCAGCGTTCGTAAGAAACATTTTCGTTCGACCGTTTTTTCGCCGATTTACTTTGCAAATCCGACTACCATGAAAAAGTCTTTTCATTCTTCGTGTTAATATATAGTCTATGACACTCAGAAATAACGTGGCTTTCAATTGGTAAAAGACTTTTCAAAATCAGTTCAGTAGATCCAGAGATTACGTTGTAGGGGTACAACGTCACAAACTCACAAACTTTACCTCTTTATATATCTATATTAATATTATAAAGAGGTAAAGTTTGTGAGTTTGTGACGTTGTAGGGAGTAATATTTGGATCTACTGAACCGATTTTGATCAAATGTGGTAATAGGATTGTTTGAGACTCTGAGAAAGACATAGAATACTTTTTATCCCTGAAATCATCCCTTAAGGGAGTGAAAATGGGGATGAAAGTTTGTATTGGGAAGCAAGCTAAGGACGAACCCGATCGAAGCGGTGATGAGTTGCTATTATTATATATAAGCGTAATTGAGGTTATGTTAACGTGAGGTAAATTTCATAATTCAATATCTTGTAATGAATAATTTTGTACTTATTTTGGCTTAAATGACAGACTTTTGCGACTGAGATCTCATGACGGTATGATAAGATGAGGCTTGCACCACTGTATTTTAGTGCATACTCTTTCCATCGATAGCGTGTCCCACATAATTCCTGCTAGGAGGGTAGGCTGTATGCACAAACATATATACTAGGGTGTGCTTAAAAATGACGATTTTTTTTTCTTTTCTCTCACCCCAAAATATCTCAGAAAATGTCCCAACAAAGCTCCTATTAAAAGCGGAGCTCAAAATTCCAATTCTAAGAGGTTTCCCATACAAATTACATGGAAAATATGATTTTTAACACTTTTTTGTGCTGCAAACTGAGACTAAAATATTTTTCAAAAAAATGAATGAATGGACCGTTTTTAGTATTAAAGTTACTACAAAAAGTTTCATTGAGTCGAATTTATATCTTCAATATTTGATTTGTTATATGGCTTTGAAGTTCAAATTTACGGTTTTTTGCATTTTTTAGCTAAACTGTAAGAGTTAGAGAAAAATGTTAAATGGAAAATTTGTAGTACGTTTAAAATCCTATAAAAATTATTGATCAACTTTTTCATATCATCAATAACAATAAAGTTACAGGCTCTCGAATATTTATTTTTTCAAATTTTTGCTTTTACAAACTGAAATATCGATGATAATTAATTAAACAAAAAAATTGGTGCAAATGCAATTACATATAATTTGATGATGAAAAAATTGATGATGAGTTCAATGGAGAACCTCTTAAAATTGGAATTTTGAGCTCCGATTTCAACAGGAGCTTTGTTGAGGCATTTTCTAAGATATTTTGGGGTGAGAGCGAAGAAAAAAAAATATCGTCATTTTTTGGCACACCCTATTATATACATAAATGTAATTACTAGTGAAAAGATGGATTAGACTGTCTTCTGACATGACAGAGATAGCATTTATGATATTTAGTTCCCATCAAATTTTACTAACCATTTTGTAAATAGTTTATAAATTAAATAATTCAATGAGTCTAATTAAATCAACATTAAAACTACTTAATATTGTATCAAAAAACAAGAAACGCAGACATCCGTATGAAAACAAGAAATTAACAAATTAACAGATGCTCTATATTTTAGTTTGAAACAGAAGTGGAACTGGGCAGGGCACTTGTCAAGATACAAAGATAAGAGATGGACCTACTAAACAACTAAATGGCAGGGCCCAAAAGGCAAAAGAAAAGTGAGAAGAAAAGATGGGCCGATGACATAATAAACACAGCAGGAAAAAACTGGATGCATGAGGCCAAAGACAGGGAAAGATGGAAAAGAATGGGGGAGACTTTTACCCACCAAGGGGCCACATAACAAAGATATGGAAAAGGAAATAATTTATAAAGGATGAATATTAGAAATTGTTATGGGGAAAATAAAGCTATAATAATAATAATAATATTGTATCAGTTGAGGAATTAATCAACGTTGAGGTATGTTGTATAAATTTGAGAACAACAGTCTTAGAATTTGGTGATGGGATGATTTGTAAGTATTCCTTCTTTGATAATAACAAAAATGTATGTTTTTGTTTTTGTATATTTTATACTAACAAAACCCGCGGCTTCGCTTACTCTAAAACAAAAAAAAACTCTTGTTCTTTGAGCTATTAGTAATAATTTGATGGCTATGATGATTTTCAAATGTGTATGATTATGAATGTGTATGGTTGTGACTCGCGCTTCGAGGGTTCTGTACTGCCGAATATCGTGCTGTTTTTACTAACATACTATATACACACAAATATTTTTTTTATGTTTTTAAACATATAATTTAATTTATTGTAAAAATAAATTCGCGTTTCATATTGTTTTTTAAAGATATTATGGAAAACAAAAAATTTAGTGATCGTAACTCAAAATATCCAATATCCGAAAAAATATTTTTCGTATATTCTGTAAATTAATTTTCGTTTAATATATTTAGCAAGCTCCACGACCTATATTTTTTACACAATTTCTATTTAATCTTTTAATGTTAGAGAGGAAGAGAGTACATGATATAGCTCGCATATAATGTTTACGACTTAAGAATCATGTAAATCGGCAAATAGGGGTTTTAACATTTAAACAGGATAACATCAACGTTATTTTTAAAGATCCAATGTTATGTACAGCTAAAAATTAGACTCCTTCTTTTCTCTCCTTATTAAAGTTACTTTCAAGTGCGATTCTTATTTTGTTATGCTTTCTGCTCGCGACTACGCTCGCTGGACTAAAGAATGCTCAGTTTTAATTTGCATTAAATTTAAATGTTGTCATATGAATCGAATTTGTAATATTATGTCCACATTAATTATGTTATCAAAACACTAAAAAGTAAAAAAATAAATAAATTCAATTTAATTTCAATTTATTTCATTTCAATTTGTGATGTGTTTTACTTATCGAAATACATTGTACAATTAGATTTGTTTTGCATCGGCTGACACTGACTTTTTACTTGACTTTTTACCCGACTGCGACGAAGTCCAAAGGAGAGTTATGTGTTTGACCTATGTACAGTATGTACGTATGAATGTAAGAACGTGTGAACCCCTATTTTTGCCAACGTTGCTTACTGCGGCCTGATTTTCATCGTTTTGAGGAGAAGCCCGTATCTGGTAATAGGACGTGAAAAGGCCCTTTGTTGTGTAAATAATAAAACAAGGTTGATTAAAGTGCCAATTTTTTTATTATCTTCGATCACTGGAAACTAAGCTACAACCGGCTCAGGCACTTTGGGTAAATGGTTGCCTACAACATTATTTCCACCGAGATCCGCAGTATACTTAGTAACGTAAGTCTTTCCATCGTCACCAATATAAGAAATTTCTCCTTCTAAGACCAGGACGTATTCAGTACCATTTTCTGAGGGTACAAGGCGACCGCGCTCGTACACTACAATTCCTTCAGCAGTCACATACCGGAGGGCAAACTGTCCAAGCTCATCATGCACTTCTTCATGAAGCAAAGCAGGTAGAGCTCGTAGAGCAGCAAGATCTTTGCCAACAGTTGGAGCAGCAATGGCCAGAGCCAACAAAGCAAAGAAAACCACCAACTGTAAAAAAACGTATATAAATTAGAAAAATATTTGGTAGTATGCACTATCAAAGTAATTATTATTATACATAAATCAATAAAGATCAGTTTTTAGTTCAAGATTCCATCACTAAGCTAAATATAAAAAAATCTATTCAACTAGAGTCTAAAAATATGAAAATGATTTCTTACCAATTTCATGATGAATGATTGTACAAATCGAAAAAGAAACGATGCACGAATGTTACTGTGCATGTTACTGGAAAAACATAGTTTATATACTAAATTGTGTCATAATGACGCACAATATTAATTGGAATAATTAGTTAAATTATACGACAAAATTACAAGCACCTATTAATGGTTACTGTCTTTTAATTATATAGTAAGTTTGCGTAATTTTAGTAATTGCATTTACCGTGATTTTGTTGAAGTGGATATTTTATATAAGTTATATATATTTTAACAAGAGATACTCTCAAGAGATACGAATTACAGATAAACTCACGTAAATCACTTATTACATATTATATTTCTGAGGGGTTGATTAACCAAATCCCATCTTATAACCCTTGTTGAGGTAGATTGATTCGAATGTTTTGATGCTTATTAGTATTTGTCACAAAACTAATAATATTAATCTTTATACCTATGTGAATGATGTATATAATATACACAATACATATGAGCATAAGTAACGCTATGTTAACGTTATGTAAATTTCATAATTCGATATCTTGTAATGAGTAATTTTATATTTATTTTGGGTTTTGACAGACTTTTGCGATTGAGATCTCATGACGGTATGAAGTATGGACACATATATACAATTTTCAAATCAATTTATTGCGGTCAGCTTATACATTTTTCTTTTACTTAATTTTTTTTAAGGAATATGTAGTAGATTGTACCTCAAGTTGCCTAAACATGTAGGTACTAGGTATTCTGATATATTTTTTGACATAAATGAAACTATTCTAAGGTACCGTATATACAGGTACTATAACAGAACAGGACTCTCATAGAATCATTTGTATTTTTTATAGGCTATTATGGCAAAATGTACTGAAATTTTAAATTTTGAATATCTTAGTTAGTCTTGTATAAGGATTAAGGCAAATTAAATTACAATCTTTTGTTTGTCCATCTTCACGATGGTCGTGACTCTTCGAGGTAAAAAATCATTTATTTAAATTTACATAATTTCTGCTTGCTTAAATAACTCCAGGAGAAAGTTCAGATAAATGTCAATAAATGATGTTATAATCTTTGATTTATTAAGTACTAGCGGCTTACCGTCGCTTCGCTCGAGTACGTCCCTAGGTACATTTTAAATACATAGATATAAATAGTTATTGGTCTGCCTTAGCCATATATTCGCATATATGAGTATATAGTCTGGCCATAAATATTGTTACAATTAAAAATAAACAAAGTATTACATTTGAATTTGGAATCTGTCATTTTTTTATGATTGTTCATTGTTTTATCATTTTCGCGCCAACACATTGTAAAATATTTCGTGATATTAAAATAGAGTGGGGTGATAAAGAGAACCGAATCGCTGTGATTGCATTACACAAAGTAGGTATGGAGCCTAATATAGTTTTTAAAACTCTCCATACGCTTGGTATTAATCAAATGTTTGTGTACCGGGCTATTGATAGGTACAATGAAACCTCCTTTGTTGTGACAGAAAAAGATCTGGCCGTCCACGTAGTGGTCATACGAAAAAGGCGATCAAAGCTTTAAGGGACAGAATTCGAAGAAATCCTGTCCGAAAGCAAAAGATTTTATCTCGGGAGATGAAGATAGTACCTTGAACCATTTCGCGTATTTTAAAAGATGACTTAGGATTTGCAGCCTATAAGAGACGCACTGATCATTTTTTAACTGATAATTTAAAAAAGGATAGGGTGGTAAAATCGTACGCAAAAGGAGGTCACAGAAATATTTTGTTTATGGATGAGACAATTTTTACAATTGAACAATATTTTAACAAAAAAAATGACCTTATTTATGCTCAAAGCTCTAAGAAAGCTTCCCAAATAGTCAACAGAGTACAACGTGGGCATTATTTGACTTTAGTGATGGTGTGTTGGGGTGCTAGCTCTGAAGGAGTGACTGAGCCATATTTTTGTGAAAAAGGTATCAAAACATTGACACAAGTGTATGAAGATACCATTCTTGAAAAGGAAGTTAAGCTCCTTAACAACACCATGTTCAATAACCAAGAATAGTCCTTTCAGCAAGACTCGGCGCCGGGTCATAAAGCTCGATCCACGTAATCTTGGTTAGAAACCCACGTTCCGGACTTCACCAGAGCTGAAGACTGGCCGTCATCTAATCCCAATATTAATCCAATGCCATGATAATTTGGAATCCCTAAAATAATCCATACGATTAGCAGTGAAAAATTTTCCCATGGAAAGAGTGTGTGCTTCTATTGATCACTGGCCTAAACTGGTTTAAAGGACTGTTTTGCAGCCAATGGAGACCACTTCGAATTAACTTTATATATTTTTAATGGTTTTATATTAATGTATTAAACTAACACACTCTAATAGTAATAAATGTTACGTGCAATAGAAAAATGTTTTGTTTCTTTGTAACAATATTTAGGGCAAGACTATGTATATAGATGTATGTACATACAGCCACATACGTAGTGAAAAAATGGATTTGACTGTCTTACGTGAGAGAGATGCATTTATGATATTTAGTTTCCGTCAAATTTTACTAACCATTTTGTGAATAGTTTATAAATTAACTAATTCAATGAAGGCTTCATATCTAAAGTCAGTCACTAAAAACATTATTAAATTTGAGTTTTATTTTTAAATGTAATGAAATGAATCTAATTTAATTAAATAAGTCGAAACTCGCAAAACTTCTTAGAATATTTCTAGATTTGGACATAGTTTCGTAATTAAGTTAGCTCTACGTGGTACCACTATGATACTTATTATACATAAATCTTAATCATACACGTACATCTACAATGTTTTAAATTAAATATAAAATATCAATAGCTTAAACATTTTTTTAATATTTCATGCTTTCATTATCTTCACTTACAATACAGGTATAATGTTATTTGAACGTTATCTTGAAAATCGATTTTCACCTATTCTGATTCTAGTAACGATTTGAAACTTTGTATATAATTATCTAGAAGACAACCTTTGGATACTATCGAATTGACCGATTGAAGGTGAGGTTAAGTATAGTCTGGAGATAATAAAAATCTTCGGCTACTTCTGAAATCTTCGAATTTGGTTAGTTTTGATAAATCCTATATTTGAGTAATAAAAAAAAACCCGACTGCCTAAAAACATGTAGTAAGACAGCATAATACTATTTTCTTTCATTAACTTATTCCCTTAGTTTTAGTTTGCTTTTTATGAAATCGTTTTTTTATTTTGATTTTTTTTTTTACTTGCAGCTTTTTAGTTTTGACCATTTAATTATTCGGAATTTTACAAAATTAAATTTTCTACATTTAAGTTGGTACATATTTTATAATCGCCTCTTAAATCTTAATTTGGATATCCCACTTGATACGTATGAAATATTTTTTTTTTAAATACACAAATTAGCACGTAATATCTACCATGTTATTTTTTAGCAAAATCTTTATACTCAAGACCACTCTAACGCCATAAAAGTAATGAAAATTGGTAAAACCGTTAAGTAATTACAAGGGAATATAGAATCAAACATACATACAATATGTACATACATATAGGTCAAACACATAATCCTTCTTTAAGTTTCGAGTGGTCAAGGCAGTAAAAAGTAAAAAGGTGTTTTCTTTAATAAAATAAAAAAATAAAAATAAAAATTAATTTAGAATCAGGACGGTTACTTATCAATGTCAATAACTTATAAATAATTTTGTACATGTCATAATAAACTAAATAATAAATACATTAAATTAGTAATTATTAATAATTATAATCAATTATTTTTCTTTACATGCTCACGTCTTGGTCTTTTGAGCTAAAAAGTAGAGCTTTCTAAGCTCAATAAGTAGTAGGAAAGTGCATTTATTTTGAAGAATTTGCTAATATTGTGGATAATACGTATGTATTCTCATATGTTCAAGTTTTCATTTCAATACATCAGCAATACAAGTTATCAGATATAACGTCAAGTTGTCGAGAGGAAACTTTAATATTACTACAGAAACTTTGCATTGTCGTAGTTGGATGATTATTTTGCTTGTTACTTGGCGTCAGCCATTTTGCAAATCAATAGTTCTTATTTTCAAATGGTATAAAAATATTATTAAAATTTTCGTTTATTAAAAAAAATCAAGTACTGATGTGATTTCATTACAATCGCCATTTAATTTACTTGTGACTCATTTATCTATGTATACACAAAATAAAATTCTGAGTCGAATCTGTACATAATTTTTTTTTTTCGGAAAATCTTGTTGAAATAGTCATTATTATCGATCTCGAATGTATAGTTTTTAGATTTTTTGTCTGTCTGTCCGTCTGTCTGTCTGGGAACGTATCATGAGAAATATTATTTTTATATGCTTTATATTCTATTGATTTACAAAATATATCAATGGTTATGACATTAAATTATTGGAAGTATTGTACTCTAAAAAGTACTATAAGTACTAAATCGATTGTATATTGAAAAAAAATATGTAAAGAATTTCTTTCGAAAACTTTTGTTAAATTTAGAATATTTACATTATAAAGTAATTAGTAAATGATGATGATAAATGTCACTCGCATTTAATTATTTCAATGTTATCAAATTAAGTAGCAATAATATAATGTATATAAAACTTGCAGTACTTAATATTGTATCAGTTGAGGAATTAATCAACGTTAAGGTATGTTGTATTTTGGGAACAATAATATTTAAATTTGGTGATGGGATACTTGGTTTTCCTTCTTTGACAAAGTAACAAAAATACACGTTTTTCTATATTTTACATTTTTATTGTATGTATTGTATATTTGCAGGGAAAGCAAGATATTTTAATTGTTTGATATTTAAATTTATTTTTTGCAGATGTTTCTTCTAGCAGTGATTAGTTTGTTTGCAATCACTTCCGCTTCATCAGACTTGGAGGTTTCATCTTCACCGGAACCACAAGTTCCTATGGTTCTAGAACCAAAACTACTTACAAACGTGCTAAATTCTGATGTCCCTGGAAAAGATATTATTCAATC